GTCGAATAATCTGGTGTCGAATCGTACGGTGTCGAATAATTTGGTGTCGAATAAATCTGTGTCGAATCGAGCGATGTCGAATCGTACTGTGGTCAATAGAGTATCACCCATTCAGTACAAACCTTTGTCGACTTTTGCGGACGACGCCGTTGAGTTTGTCGTACCGGGACATAGTGAAAATTACATAGATCTCGCGCATACTCTTCTCAGTCTTTGCGTGATATTGCAAACCTCCGTTGAAGCAGTGGTTATTCCGCCTACTGTGGTTACAACTTCTAGCGCCAGTGCAGAGCATAAAGTAGGGCCTGTAAATAACTTCTTACATTCCACGTTCAATCAAATCGATGTGTACTTCAATCAAAAGCTTGTGTCGCCTCCGAACAATGCTTACGCGTATCGAGCTTATTTCGAGACATTGTTGAATTATTCTTCAGAGGCAAAATCCTCTTATCTCACCACCTGTTTATGAAATAGCGATCCTCCGAAGCTGTTGGATGCCGGGTTCAATGCTCCATCTGAGAATTCCGCTCTCGTGAGACGTATGCAGTATTTCAAAAATAACCGTGCTGTGCATCTTGTAGGACATCTACGTTGCGACGTTTTCAATCAGGATAAATTCATGATTAATGGCGTGGAAATGCGCCTAAGACTCATCCGCTCGAAAGATTCTTTCTGTCTCGTCAGTTTCAATTTGCACTTTTGGCTCAGTGGACCTATAAAGTTAGTCCATACGCTATTCTACGTCATTTTTTTAACAGATTCTAGTCCTGTGCAGTTTCTTTTGCCTACTACTACGCGATACATGCCCTTTTTTTACAGTGGGCGTGCTCATTTGTGTCGGACTCGTGCTCGAGATGTTGTGACTCTGATCGCCTTGTGGGAAAGAGATTAATTCGAGATTACACTCGAATTAAGTTTTGGAGTCTCGATTTAGTTCGCCGATCAATCGATAAACTCGATGTAAAGGGACCGGCCCGGAAAAAATCCTTAGGGTTGGTTTATAATAGCCGTAACCGTTAACTTACGCCGGTGCCATAAAAGTTGGAAAATAGAAAACTTGTACTTCTGTTCGTAATTCAATTATGAATAGAAGTACGTACTTCCTATCTTCCAACTTTTACAGCAATGGCCTAAGTTAACGGTTACGGCTATTATAAACCAACCCTTAGTTGTTGAGCGGATTCGAACTCGAGACCTCCGGATTCGCAGCCCCTGCACTCAAGCCGCGAGACCACTGGGCTGATCTCTTTCTGTCTCTTGGAACTTACGCTAAGGATGTCGATATTTTTTCAAAGAATCGATTTATTGAATCGATTCAGATTGTTGAGCAAAGTATCGATTCGTAAAAAAATCGAGCGTAAAAGATCGATTCTTACGAGATCGATTCATTATAAGAAAAAAAATTTTGAATTTTATGAAATTAATACTTACTAATTCTAAACTTTTTGAAGTGCAAAAAGAAATAAAGCCAAAGCTGTTTGATACTATAATATAAAAGAATTAATAATAAATTCAATACTGAAAAATATTAAATTAAATAATTGAGAAATTTGTTCAAAAAAATTTATTTAAATATAGAGTAAATACATATTATATATATTATATAGAATAAATATTATATACATGTACATATATAGAATAAATACATATATTATAGTGTATATATAGAAGCAGTTGAAAAACTATAACAAGCACTGCCTATCTTTTAAATAGTTTAAATAAAATATAATACTGCAAATATTACATGTCCCAAAAATGTTTATCTAATGATTTCAGGAAAATTAACTTGTGCAGTCTTTCTCCTGACAACCTGTTTCTGTTAGAAGTAACTATATTTCCGGCTATAGAAAATAAACGTTCAGACGGAACTGACGTTGCCACTATACAAAGATAGCGATAAGCTACCGTTTTTAAGTTTTTATATGACGTATCTTTGTGATAGTTCCAATATTTTAGAGGATCGCATTTTTGGAGGTCTTCGACAGGCTGGCTCAAATACTTTTTAAAATCAATTCCAATAACATTTTGGCTTTGTTCTTCTACTGGATACTTTTCTTTTATTAAACTGTTATGAAATTGCCATATACTATTCCTATGAGGTGAGTTTGCATTTTCTTTATCATGAGAATTAAAGCAATCTTCTATTATATTTAAATGCTGTGAAGTTTTCGATTCAATATCAGACAACATATTTGTAATTTTGCTGACTGCATGAGAACAAGCAATTTTGTCATAAAAATAAATTTTCTTAAAACGAGGGTCTAACAAAGTTGAAATAGCTAATAAATGTACCTGTTCAATAACTTTAAATCGTTTGTTAATTTTATTTAATATAATAGTTTTACATTCAAAGCCAAGTGCTGTATTTGGTTGCACACTTTCTATAGATTTAGTTAAGCCATATATCATAGGTATTATTTTACTGCTCGTAACATAATTTTGTCCTGAGATTTCTTTTGTTAACAGCTCCAAAGGTTTAAAAATTTGTATAAGATCTTTAAGACTGTCTAATTGTGAAGTAGTTAGCATAGTAGGAGCTTTTGAATTGCTCAAGAGTATTGGAGCTATTTTATCTGATAATTTGATGAATCTTTCTAATTGATAGTAGGTAGAGTTCCATCTAGTGCAAACCGACTGAATCAGTTTTAAAGGTGCTTTTAAATCACTTTGTGCTTTGCGTAACTCATCGGAGGCCTGTACGCTATGTTTGAAATGTTTCACAATGGTCTTTACAGACTCTACCAATGC